TGTTGCATCAGCGGGACCCACAGCATGGACCTGGTGGCCCTGGAGCCCTTCGGGGAGTACGTCTCCTTGCCCGGCCTGGACTGCACCTTCCCGGGGTAAGTGCAGGGCTCCGGAGGGGGACGCAGAAGAGCCTTTTGGGGGGCACCCCCTCCCCAGCGGGCGCCTTCTCCTGCAGCGGCTACAGCAGCTTGCCCGATCGCATGCTCTCGTCTCTGCCGGAGGGCACTGTCCTGCTCAACAAGCCAGTGAGGACCATCCACTGGAGAGGGTCCTTCCGCGAGGAAGGGGATGAGGCCAGGGATTTCCCCATCCGGGTGGAGTGCGAGGACGGAGACACCTTCCTCGCTGACCACGTCATCGTCACCGTCCCACTGGGTGAGGACACTGAGCCCTTTCCTCGCCCTGCCTGTCCCCCCCAGCCAGCTGGCGTGGGTGGAGATGGGCAGGTGGGGGGTAGGGACTTGCCCAAACCCCTTCCCGCCAGTGGGAGAGGGGAGGCTGGGAAGGGGTTTGCGGAGGGGAAGGTGCCTCAGACCCCATTTAGGAGCCAGGTGAACAGAGCTACACCGACTTCTGCCCACAGGTTTCCTCAAGGAACACCACCAGCACTTCTTCCAGCCTCCCCTGCCGGCGCGGAAAGCAGAGGCCATTCATCGTCTGGGTTTCGGCACCAACAACAAGATCTTCCTGGAGTTCGAGCAGCCTTTCTGGGAACCCCAGCAGCAGCTCCTCGAAGCGGTCTGGGAGGATGAGTCGCCCCTTGAGGAGTCCAGTGCCGACCTGGAGGCCAACTGGTTCAAGAAGCTCATTGGATTCGTGGTCCTCCAACCGCCAGAGCAGTACGTGGCCGGGAGCGTCAGCAAAGGGGCATCAAGGCCGGGGGGGATCGGCATCTGCCGGGCAATGTGAAGGAGCACCTTGGTCCTGTCCGGAGCTTCAAGACCTTCTCCAGGTCACCGGTGGCCCATGACACAGCAGCGCTCCCAGGGCAGGGAGGGCGCGGTTCCCGATGAGCAGCGGGAGGGCGGCAGGCCGCTCTCTGCCCCATCTTTCCTCCCCAGGCACGGGCATGTCCTCTGCGGCTTCATCGCAGGGAAGGAGTCAGAGTACATGGAGACGCTGAGCGATGCGGAGGTCCTTGGCACCATGACACATGTCCTCCGCACGCTGACAGGTACTGCCACCTTGTCCACCCTCACCACCCCCCAAATCCCCCGGGGAAACGTGCACCCAGATTTCTGGATTCCACCCAAAATCCATGCCTGCAGGGAACCCGCACCTGCCTGCTCCCAGGAGCGTGCTCAGGTCCCGGTGGCACAGCGCTCCCTACACCCGGGGCTCCTACAGCTACGTGGCAGTTGGCAGCTCAGGGGATGACATCGATGTGCTGGCTCAGCCCCTGCCCGAGGAGCCCGAGGACCCCAGGGTAAATTGCTTTTGGCCCAGGGGATGCAATGGCTGGGGGCGGGGTGGGGGGGAGCAGGATGCCTGGGCGTGGGGACAGACGGACAGGGGTAGGAACAGGACGTCCCAAGCCTTGAGGAGCACAGGGAGGTGGCATTCCCTGCTCCGTTCGGGGGTCCCCAATGCTCAGGTCACCAACCAACCCCCCTTGGCTCTTCCCACTGAGCTCCATGGGGGTGGGGGGAACCCCATTTCCATAAAACCTGGGGACATGTAGCTCCTTCCAGCCACTTTCCGGCATCCTCATGGCATGGGGCAGGTCTCTAAGATGGGGAAGGTGCCCGCTCCTCTGTCTATAGAGGGCTGCAGAGTGGGGGGGGGGGCACCATCCGCGAGGTGCCAGAGGGCAGGGAGAATAGGCTGGTTGAGTACCACCCAGTGTCCCCCCTGGGCTGGGGGAGGCAGGCAAGCCCCCACCGCTCCCCTCCTGCCTCACCACAGCCTCTGCAGCTCCTCTTCGCCGGCGAGGCCACCCACCGCACCTTCTACTCCACCACTCACGGGGCCCTGCTGTCGGGCTGGAGAGAGGCCCAGCGGCTCAACCAGCTCTTCGAGGCACCCCCGCTCCTCGGCTCTGAGGCGGAAGAATAAAACTCATGCTCTGCAGATCGCTGCCGCTCAGCCTCCTTTATTGGGAAACCTCCTCAGGTGAAGGGATGCAGAGGCTTCTCTTCTCTCTCGGGGGGACG